GGAGGAGGAGGAAGAGGATGGGGAGCAGTAACAGCAGCAACAGCAGCAACAGCAGCAACAGCAGTAACTGTAGCAGCAGCAGCAGCAGCAGCAGCAGCAGCAGCAGCAGAGGCGAGCGCATGAGGGCGTGGGGGAGGAGGGGGAAGAGGAGGAGGAGGAGGAGGACCAGCGTCAACCCAAGAGCCATCAACGATGTTGGAGTGCACCCTCCCTCCAATCTCCCACTTGACTGTTGCGTCTTGACGATCCTGGATCGCCCCAGAACGCCATTTTGGGGATGTCAACGCCGCGAATCAACGTAACTGTTGCACCCGCAAAATCGCGAATCATTTCAAAACACCAGTTCTGGTACGCTGACCATGGGAATCCGTGAAACTCTTGCACGTGTTAGAGACGAATGTGCGCGGCGCTGAGGCGAGAGCCACGAGAGCCACATTATAAAAGTGGACCCTCCCCAATCCGTGAAGCCCTTGCACATGTTACGCAATAATGTGCGCGGCGCGAAGGCGAGAGCCACAGTTTGAAAACGGTTGTCCTCAACCCGTGAAACTCTTGCAAATTTGTGAAACGACTTCGCGCGGCGTTAATGCGAGAGCCACAGTTTGAAAATGGGTCGGGTTCAATACGTGGAGCCTTAGAAAATTGTTAGAACGAATGAGCGCGGCGCTAAGGCGCGAGCCACAGTTTGAAAACCACCCGCCCTTCATAAGCTTGAAGAAGTATCAGGCGAAACGCCCGACCTGCCCTAAAAGCAAGCATCGGGGTGCGACAGGGAGAAGTTATGTATAAGGAAAAGGAACGAGGCGAGGGAGAAGTAGAAAGAGAAGGATAATGCGGAGCAGGAGGAGGAGGAGGAAGAATATGAGGAGGAGAACGAAAACGAGGAGGAGAAGGGGGAGGAGGAGAACGAGGAGGAGGAGAACGAGGAAGAGGAGGAGGCAGGAGGAGTGCAGGAGGAGGAGGAGGAGGAGGAGGAGGAGGAGGAGGAGGAAGAAGAGCAGGGATAGGACGAGGAGGAGGAGGAGGACGACGACGACAAGGAGAAGCAGGAGCCCAAGCAGGAGGGGGAGGAGAGGAAAGATGAGGGGGATGAGGAGCAGCAACACGGAGGGGGTGGCTTTCAGAGGCTCTCGAGCACTGCGGCGCTCCCCAGCAACCGCGTCAAGCGAGGAATCCTTCGGGGGGCCGCCTGTTTAGACTTAGCTGTAGCCGACCTCCAGTGGCTCAGGGGCAAGGCCTTGTGCGGCGGAACGGTCCCTGCAGGGGCGCCGAGTGGCTGCGCTTCGCGTGGGCCGCAAAGGTGCCCTTCTCCAGGGCGGCCGCGCGAATGCGCGAATATGACCGCGCACCGCGCATCGCGAGGCGCGCAGCGAGAGTTCAGGTGACCCAGGACGCTAGGATGCCCAGCCCATGCCAGCGATTTCAACACGGGCTTCGAGTGAGTCGAGGTCCTTGGCTGCCAATGCTGAGGTGCAGTTCCTCGACGCGAAGATATCGAGTCCTTACTCTGATATTCAGGGCGTCGATGCACTGAGAGCGTTTGGTTCGAAGAGGCCTCGTTACTCCTCAGGGGTTCCTCGGCCGCCCCCCCCGGCAGAAACTGTCAACCTAATTTGGGGTGCAACAACGCGTTCGTTCCTGGCCCAATGCTCTGTATAGATCTTCACAGCATAGCATTGAATGTGTGCCAGGCGTGTGGAGAATCTGGGGGGCAGCGGAAGCCGCGACGACGACGACGACGACCGAGGACCTGGTGTTCGCGATCACGGCTTGGAGCAGCGACGAAGAGCGGAGGTCGAGGTGGACGAAGGCGTGTCTCTGCTGGAAGCTCGTCGTCCCCAGCGGCGTGTACTTCATGGTGTCCGAGAAGGCCAGGTCTGTTTCGTCGTCGCCCGAGGATAGGGATTCGAGGATGCAGGGTTTAGGATCTGTTTCGGCCCCTTTTGGGCTTCCGGGGACCTCCAGAGATTTCTGGTGGACGAAGAGGAAGAGGAGGACCATTGTGAAACCAAGGCCCTTAACGATGTTGGAATACACCCATCCTCCGAGCTCCCCCTTCACAGGCCCCTACAAGGGTCCATTTCCACTCAGGGAATTGCCCCGTAGGGGGACAACGAGCGAAAATCTTGAAGCGTGCCAAAACACCGTTCCCAGGAGTTCAACCCCACGAGTGAACATGATTAGTACGTCGTGGCGATCCTGGATCGTGCCGGAACATCAACATTGCGAATCAGTGTAGTTGCTGCGCCCCGACAATCGTGAAATGTTTCAACACGCAGTTTCTGGTACGTTAACCGTGAGAATCAGTGAACCCATTGCGAAGTTGTACCACGAATGCACGCGGCGCTAAGGCGAGAGCCACATTTTGAAAACGGCCCGCCATTCATCCGTAAAGCTCTTGCGATTGTTTAAAACCAATGTGCGCGGCGCTAGGGCGAGAGCCACATTTTGAAAACGGCCCGCCCTCAATCCGTGAGGCTCTTGCAAGTATTTAGAGCGGGCGCGCGCCAATCCGTGAACCCCTTGCAGGCTTTTAGACCGCATGTGCGCGGCGCTGGGGCGAGAGCCGCAATTTTGAAAACGGCCCGGCCTCCATCCGCGAGACTCTTGCAACTTGTTAGAGCGAATGCGCGCGGCGCTACGGCGAGTGTCACACGCTGCAGGCCACCCGCCCTCCATCTGCGAAGCTGTTGCCAGTGTCCAGGTTTCAGAATCATACGCGGTCAGGATGTCCCAGGCGACATGCGCGGGCCGCCCTTTCGACCGGCCTCGGGGGGCGACGGGGAGGAGTTAACATGAGTTAACTACCTGTAAGGGAACGGAAGGGAGGAGGACCAGTGATGCAAACCCAAGACTCATCAACAGTACTGCAAACAACCCACCCTCCAAGTTCCCTCTTCATAAGCCCCTGTAAGGATTCGTACTCACGCGGGGAAGTACCCCTGTTGGAGGACAACCGTTTGAAAATCCGGAGCTGCACCAGGACACCACCCCTGGGGCTTCAGTGCCGCGAATCACCATTATTGCTGCGACATGACGATCCTGAATCGTACCAGCACGCCACTGCTGGACTTCCAACACCACGAATCAACGCAATTGTTGCGCCCTAACAGTCGGACATCGTGCCCAAACACCATGTTGGGGATGTTAACCAGGAGAATCCTTGAAGCTGGTGTCAATTCTAAAACACATGCGCGCGGTGCTTACGCGAGAGCCACAGTTTGACAAGGATCTGCCCTCCATCCGTGAAGCTGCTGCAAGTTTGAATATGAATGCGCGCGGCGCTGAGGCGAGATCCACATTTTGAAAACGGCCCGCCCTCCATCCGTGAAGCTGTTGGAAACGTTTAAGACGGATGTGCACGGCGCTAAAACGAGAAACACATGTTGAAAGCCACCCGCCCTCCATCCGTGAAGCATTTGCACATACTTGACGCGTCGCGTATCCCCACCAGCTCATCCACAAACGATGCCCAGGCGGGTTGCCTTGATCAGGGACGCGGAGGAGCATGCAGTGGATCAAGAGTTGGGGAAGCCGGCAAACTGAAGTCTTGGATCAGCCTGCGATAAACCCAAGAGCGAACCGTATGCGCCTTCGCGGACCTGCCGAAGGAGGAAAGGCGGGGCGGAAGGACGACGGGGAGGAGGAGGGGGAGGAGGGAGGAGGGAGGAGGGATGGGGGAGAAAAAGGCGGATGAAGAGGAGCAGGAGGAGCAGGAGGAAGAGGAGGAGGAGGAGGAGATGGAGGAGGAGGAGGAGGAGGTGGGGGAGGGGGAGGAGGGAGGAGGGAGGAGGGATGGCGGAGAAAAAGGCGGGGAAGAGGAGGAGGAGGAGGAGGAGGAGGAGGAGGAGGAGGAGGAGGAGGAGGAGGAGGAGGGAGGAGGAGGAGGAGGAGGAGGAGGAGGAGGAGGAGGAGAAGGAGGAGGAGGAGGACAATGGCGAGCTTGGGGGCTTCTCGTGGGACTTTGGGGGCCTCTTGGCGGTCCCGGGCGCCTCTTGCGTACCTCGGTGATCCTCTCGAGGCCTCTTGGGGGACTCTTGGGAGCCTCTTGGAGGCCTCTCTGGCGCCTCTTGGGGCCTTCTTGGCGCCTCTTTGGGCCCTCTTGGGGCGCTCTTGGGAGGCTTGGGGACGCTCTTGGAGCCATCTTGGAGGACATCGATTAAAGAAGGGAGGAGCCTCAAGTAGCCTTGCCCCTCCAGAGTGCCTAGAATCGTCTCTCGGATCCCTCTCGAAGCGCCCTTGGGGCCGTCTTGGGGCTCTTTCAGGCCTCTCTTGGGGCTCTCTGGAACTCTGTTGGAGCTGTCTTGAGGCCTCGGGAAGCCATCGCAAGCGACAAGGACGAGAAGGCGGATTGCATCGATTTCCCGAAGAAAGAAGAAGGACATAAGAAGGAAAGAATCAGGACAGAAGAAGGGAAGAAAAAGGGTTTTGGCATGTTATGGCCTCTTGGCGGCCTCCGTGAGACGCTCCGTGGCCACCTGGTACCGTCTTGGCCTTGGGGCCTCTTGGAGCATTTTGGGAGCCATCTTGAGGCATCTTGGGCTATCTTGTACCATTTAAGGTCATCTTGGGCTTTCTGAGACTCTCTCGGAGCCGTCTTGGGCCATCTCAGTTGCTCTGACCGCTCGCGGGGCGCCCCGTGCAGGTCCAGGGGTGGGGGTAGGGGGAGGGGTCAAGACACCCTCTCCGCACGCAATCCGTCTAGCTCACTCCCACCCGCCCTCCCACCACATAAGTGGCATCCGAGTCTCGGCATGGCCAGGGGTCGCCACTGGGTGGACAGCCAGTGGGAACCAATGCGGACGCCAGGTGCGCGTCAAGCTACCCTCCCGCCTGCAAGCCGTCTTGCTCACCCCCACCCGCCCTCCCAACACAAGTAACACCCCGGTGTCAGCATATCGCGTAAGAGCGCCGCAGAAGCCACGGGTTCAGATGCACTCGACACCCTGGAGGCCCAAGCGTGCCAGGCGCTCCAGGTGCGGCACGTGCTCCACGTGCGCCCAGTGCTCCACGTGCTCCAGCCGCGCCAGGTGCGCCAGCCGCTGGGAACCAAGAGGGGCTCCACCTGCGTGCGCCGCAGCTGCTGCTGCGCCAGCAACTGCGCACGCCCCACAGCGCATGCTCGTGGCTGCCGGCCGCCGCGCGCGGCCCCCCCCATCCGCGCACGAGAAACAGACGTGCGAGGAGGCGCGTGGCCTGCTCCCGCCGTGCCGGTTGCAGGTGCAACTGCGACGGGGAAGCTCCGTGGCTCCGCGCGTGGCGCGCGGCCAGGCGACGCGCCCACGGCAGGGGTTTCGAGGATCGGGGCGCCTCTGGGCGCTGCAGACGCTGCAGCAGCTTCGCCCGGAGCCGAGGTTTCGAAAGCCCATCGGAAACGAAAAGGCGAGAAGGCAGCAGCCATTGATTTGTCAAGCCAGTCGGTCGACCACCTGCGCCCAGAAGGCAGGTGGGATCTGCTGGCACCCCAGCCGTCCCTGCAAGATGCCAATGCAACGTGGTCGCGGGGCGGCCGCGCATGCTCCAAATGTGGAGGCAGAGTGCCATTTTTTTGTGTGTGTGTGTGGGGGGACAGGGATGGTAGTGGGGTGGTGATCATGGGCAGCTCATTGTTCCTGGTTGGCTGCCAGCCGGGTGGGGGAAGGGGTGTATATTAGTAGGGAACAGTGATAAACTTATAAACCCCTCCCCGAAGGGGAAGAAGGGAGTTGAGAGGAGCCCCTCTAGACCACCTACGCCCAGAGGGCTGGTGGGACTTCAAGCTTCAGGATCATAAGCGGTGAGATAGTCTCAGGCGAAACGCCTGGCCGCCCTTTCGCGCGCCTCGGGGTGCGACAGGGAGGAGTAATTTACAAGGTACAGGAATGGAGGACGACGACGACGACGAGAGGAGAGGGAGGGCAGGCACTGACGATGTTCTTCTACTTCCATCCCTGGGCGAGCCGGGGCCGGACCCTTTACCCCGCCTGCCCGTCTCGAGACCCTCAACCTCTTGCACCTCCTGCACCTCCCCTCCCTCCTCCTCCTCATCCTCCTCCACCTCCTCCTCCTCCTCCTCCTCCTCCTCCTCCTCCTCCTTTCCTTCCTCCTCCTGCTCCTCACGACTGGCGGCGGGGCCTCCTCGGCTCGCCCGGCGTCCCCCCCTCTGCCGCACCTTCCTGCTGACCGACCCCGACGACATCGGCGCAAGCGCCGTCATCTTCGAGCCCGAGGGCCAGCAGGACGGGGAGGGGAGGCTGAAGGCTCCACGGTGCGACGCGGTCTCTCTGAGGGTCCTCAGAGGCTTCCCGAGGCGCGGAAGGGGCCACGTCCACCACCGTCTGGGCCCCGCGGGGCCGTGGTGGTGGCGGTCGATGCCTCCGTTCCCGCTCGCCCTGCAGGAGACCGGCTGCGCCTCGTCCTCGTCGGGCGGCGACGTGCCCGAGGAGCCCGGCGACGGCGGCGCGGAAGGCGGCTCCCACTGGGAAGGGACCCTTCCCCCCTTCCTTCTCGTCCTCCTCCTCGTGCTCGTCCTCCTCCTACTCCTCCTCCTCCTCCTACTCCTCCTCCTCCTCCTCCTCCTCCTCCTCGTCCTCCACCTCCTCGTCCTCCTCCTCCTCCTCCTCCTCCTTGCCGTAGCCGTTTTGGCTCAATATGTCCTCCTCGGAGGCTGTCCAGCCTCCTGGCGGAAAGGGTACCACTAGTCCGCGGCCAGTCTTCGCCGCGCGCTCTGCCATTTTGCCCTCGGCGCGCGCGGCCCGCGGCCCATGCCCCCCAAGGGCGAAGGGAAAAAGGGGGAAAAAAAGGACGGCCTGGGCGAGCTAGTGCTGATGCTCCTGCTCGGGCTGATGATGAGGATGCTGCTCGTGCTGAAGAGCGGTCGATGTCCACTCGTGACAACTCTGACGCCGCCGACGACGACGACATGGACCCCGATGGATAGGACGAGCACGTCAAGGGCCTCATCGACGGACACCTGCTCAGCAAGTTCCAGTCTTTCAAAGAGGAACTCACCGGTATGGTCACCGCCTCCGCCAGCTCGGCAGCTGAGCAAGCAATCGATCCAGTCATGGTGGCGCTCAAAGCAGTGGAGAAGGTGGTCAAAGGCGTTCCCAGCAGCTGCCAGCAGAACGTCGAGGCCTCTCTCCGTCCCGAGTTCGACTCGCTCGAACGTCGATTTCAAGCACAATTTGACAGTCTCAACGCTCGTGTCAACACGATCGACTTCCGCACCGAGAAGCTCAACGAAGAGATGGCCTCCATGCGAGTTGCAACGGACGAGATGCGTAAAGAGCTGGCCCTCGCTAGCAAGGTACCCCCTCCGCCTAAGCCATCAAGTGCAGGCTTTCAGCGAGAAGTGGACGCTACGGTGCTCAAGATTGTGGCCTTAACCATTGTCAAGCGCACTGACGTCGTCGCCTCCATCACCGCGTGGCTGGGCAAAGCCAAAACTGATGGATGGGCAGTGGTGGGAGAAGATCAAGACCGGCTCTTCACTATTCAACTCACGGGTGCCACCGCCATCGCTGGTCGGCGCGTTGTGCAAGCTCTGGCCGCACTTCGTCTCCCTGGCAAGGGGCACTGGATACGCTTTCATGTTCCTGCTGCCTCTGGTGGCTCTACTATGCTGCACGTTGGCCCTGACGAGAGCCCGTTCCAGATTCATATGGAGATTGCTGGAAAGAAATTCACCAGTGCTCTTCGTGAGCGCTTCCTAGACGCCAAGCTCTTCTACGACAGGCTGAATGGGTGGGTCTGCGAGAATCGGAATCCGCTTGTCTGGTTGGAGCCGCACTGCCTTCGCAGCTCCAGAGTGGTCCATTTAGCACGTATGATGGCGTATTCCGCTCTTCAGTTGAAGGCGGTGCGGCACCGCAGTCCGAAAAGCTGGTCTTCTCTACTTGGAATGCGCGTGCGCTTCTGCGGTGGAGGGGCTATCAAGCTATGACCAAGGCATCCCACTTGCAGACGGCAGGCATCACGGACGTGATTTCTGCGATTCAGGAAGCGCACCAGACGTTGGCGGAGCTGAAGTTCTTCATGGGCAGAATTGCTCCCTCATCGACAGTGTTTGGATCGTTCGAAGATGACTGGACAGGACACTCACGCGGAGGTGCGGCTACGGCGATACCTCTGGCAGACTCGGCTACCCCAGCGGCGACCCCCACGATTCTCTTCCTTGGCCGTGCATTGCGAGTTGTTCTGCGATGTGATCATGCTGAAACGCGCCATTGCAATATTCATAACCATGGCCTCGATGAAGCACATGCGCGCGCTATTCTTGCCGAGGCGCAGCATAATTTAGCATGGGCAGTCTCGTCGCCAGCATCTCGCTTAGCAGTTGTCTGCGGGGGCTTCAACTTCGCGTCGCTCGATCCGCTGCAGTCGGCCAGGCCCGAGATGGCGAGGGGCATTGAGGTCGCCAACAACTCCAGGACGCATGTGAAACTTTGGATGGACACGCTCTCGGGTTTCGTCGACATCGCAGCTGAGGATCCCACTCGCCATTGCAAAGACACGCAGACAGTCGCACATATTGATCGAGTATGGGTCTCGGAACCTGAATGGCTAGTTTGTCAAATCCAACGCCCGGTGCCTGTAGTCTCTACGCCTGAGTTTCTATCCGAGCGCGGCATCTCCGATCACGCAGCTGCCCGAGTAGATTTTCGCCCACGGATCGGTCAGGGTGCTCATCGCAAGACGGCGGCGACACCAAGTAAAGCATACCACCCACAAAATAAATCAGACCACCCAACAAGTAATGCCACCACCCAGGAGAGTGAAGGAGACCACCCAACAAAAAAAATAAAGCAGACCACACACAGAGCACAGCAGACCACCCAACAAGTAATGGAGACACCCCTAAAAGTAAAGGAGACCACCCGGGTAAGTGAAGGAGACCACCAAACAAGTAATGGAGACGGGAAGTCGCCACAACCCAATGAAATTTGCTGCAGCGGGGTCTCGCTTGACATTAATCACTCTATCCGCTTGTCCGTAGCTGCTTGGGATCGGGCAGCGTGACGTCCGCCCGCGCGGGGCGATGAAGCGATTCGCGGGGATTCGCAGCCTCTGGCGCGATGGCGCTGCGTTGCAAGGCTTGCCTCGAGCGCGCCAAAGACCGCGATGGGAGCTGCAAAAATCAGACATGCACCGCATATCGCCCTCCGAAGACAGGGCGGCATTGGAAAATGGCCAGATTGAATGATGCCTTGGGCAAAGCGACCGACAAAGTAGGCGCGTGCGTTGTGGGCGGTTCCGCCTTCTCCCTGCCTCGCAGGCGCGACGTGCGGGTCGGCGCAGCATGCGGCCAGTATCTTCGGAACGCCGCAGCCCGTGGCGCGATTGCTGCGCGGTTGGAGCTTTTGGCGGTGACTTATCTGTGCTACTGGCGATGGTCGACGTGATCGTCGCTTGAACACTCGTCGACTGCGCTGCCCTGTTTGGGGCGCGCGGGCCCCGCGGAGCGAGCTGAGATTTTCAAGGCGCGCGGGCTTCGATGGAAGCGGGCGCGAGCGTGCGACAGGTTCTCGGATGCCGCGACAAGCACGAGGTAGAGTTAGTATGCCGCGCGGAGCGGAGCAAGCGCGGGAGCGCAGCCTCTCTCGCTACTTTTGCGCACCATCCATGCATGAACCCAGCGAGTCGCCGCGCGGGTGGCCCGGAATTCGCGGCGTTGACCCCTGACGCGCGCAATCGAAATCCCCGGGCAGCTCGCGAAGATCCCGCCGAGGTATTCGCAGCGAAACCCACGTTCAAGGGCGCGGGGAGAGCCCCGCGGAAGCGCGAGATAAATCCTTGGGCGGGCGCCGCATACAATCGAATCAGGTGGTTTGGGCATTGCCAACAGACTCCGCCAGAAGACCCCCGACCGTTCCTCGGTTCCCAATGCGTCCATCTCCTGCTTCGTGCCCTCCCTCCCCCGCGCCGCGCGGCTCCTCCCCCTCCTCGCTATATTGCGCGTCCCCATTCGTCCTCCTTGCCCCCCGCGCCCCCCCCCCCCCCCTCCGTTCGCGCGTCCCCCCGCGCCCCCCTGCCCCCTCGCAGCGACTTGTTGCGTCGCCTTCTTGCCCCCCAGGTTATTGCGGCGGCCGTTCAAAGCGGAGGGCGCGCGCGCGCCTGCCGACGCAGAAGATTGGCCCCTGCTCGCTGGCATGGGGTCCGGGGCCGAACAGGGTCTGGCCGACGCGGGCATTGGTTCCCGCGAGTCAGCCGAAAGGGCCCGCGAAGCCGTGGCCGCGGAAATCGCGGCCTCTGGCGCGACGTGCCCGCGAGATGGCGCTGGGGCACTTCGCTGCGCATGCGAACGCGACGGCCTGATCTGCCTCCTGTGCTTGACTAAAAATAACGAAGCTGTTGACCACGAGATTTTGCCGCCGCCGTCGTTCCCCGCGTCGGTCGTGGAGGAATTAGGTTTAGAGGCTCCCGTCGCAGCCTCCGGCACGACTGCGTGGTCAGGCAAAATTAATGACCTTTTCGAGTTCCCATCAAAAACTATGGAGATGCCAGCCATCGTCTCCGTCGCGGCGCGGGCGACGCCAACCATTCCTCGATGTTCGGGCGCCCCCGCCGCGGGCGCCATTTGTCGATGTTGCCGAGCTTGGCACTTCGGAGGCTTCTTTCTGGCTTGCGCGCTGAATGCAAGGTGGAAGGGCGTCGCGGACTCTGTCGCGAGCATCTTATCATTCGACGCGAAAGCCGCGCAGATACTGCGTCGAGCAGGGGCCTCACGGAGTGATATCATGCGCTCCTTGGCTTGCTCGAGGGGCTTGCTCGACGGGCCCCCGCTCGCGCCTGCGTGAACTTCGACGAGCGATTCTCGTCCATGCTCAAGCCCGAATGGGCGTCGAGGAACACCTTCGGGGCGCCGCGATGGACGCGGCAGCCGAGGTGTTTTTTCGGCGCAAGCGGGGGGCGCGCGCAGGCGGACAAGCGTCGGCTTGCAGAGATAGAGGCCCGCGTGGCGATGTCGGCGCCCAGGCAGTCTGGACTCTGGCGATGATCCGCAGCCTCTAGCGCTCACAAGCGCTGCGGGCGAGCGGCCGCCAGAGCAGTTGCTGGTTGCGCAGAGAGATCCACCAGCGCGCTGGGCCCAGCTGAACAGTAGAGCGGATTGCCCACGAGTGGAAGCGAAGCCGCGCGAAAATAGACGATATCTCACCCGCAAGTAAACCAGGCCGTGCCCAGAAGCACAACAAACTCGCAAAAGTAAGCAAGACCACGCGCGCGCCAAACTCACACACGCGTTGACCAGGTCCATCTGAACGGGAGATGTCACGCGGAAAATTTGACCATAGTTCCGAAAAGCGTGCCGCACCCAGCTGATAAGCGCACCAGGGCACGCGTGAATGGAGGCCTGGCCGCTCGAAGAGCCTCGACCACAAGTAGAGCCATTCCCCGGGCCTCGCCATAAAGTAGACCAGGCCGCCGCAAAGTACAACAGACCGCTCCCATACTTAGACCAAACCACCCACGAACGGAGGCCAGGCCACCGAGGCGTTGACCAGACCTCGACTGATCCAGACAAGACACTGGATGCCAGGCCGAAGAAAATCACACCTGGTGATATCAAATATATACACCAAGCCGCACACAAGCGTAAGCCATACTATCTAAGAGTAGACCAGGCACAGCTGACGCGTAGGCCTGACCACCCACCCACGGAGGCCAAGCCGTCCGAAAATAGACCAGACCTCGCCCGAAAGCGTGCCGCGCCTGCTGACTTCCGCGTAAAAGTGGACAAGGCCACCCCCGACAGAAGGCCAGGCCGCTGCTTGACGGAAGCCAGTCCTGGCCAAAAAGTAGAAGAACTCACCGAAACGTAGACCGAGCATAAAGTTAAACCAGACCGCTGCCACACATGAACCGACACAACCGTGATCGGAGGCCAGACGACCCAAAACTAGAGGTCACCGCCCAAGAGGGGATCGCACTCCTTTAACAAGTAGACAAGGCCACCCAAAAACAAAGCAGACCCCGCGCCAAAAGTATACCAGACCACTGACAACGACAGCGACGACGGCGGCAGGCGGCAGGAGGCAGCGATGACGGCCAGCGGCGGTTGCGGCGGCGGCGACAGCAGCGGCGGCAACGACGACGGCGACGGAGACGACGACGATGTTGATGGCGACAGCGGCGACGGCGACAGCGTGCGACGGCGGCGACGGCGTCGACGCTTATTGCAATGATTTTGGACTTGGTGGACCGGGCAGCCCCTCTGGCGCACGGTTCCTCCGTGCATTCAAAATAAGCAGGGGGCGCAGGGCGCGCGGCTGCCCTACCCATCGCGCGCTGCGCGTCTGCTCGCAGAATTGGATAGGGCTGCTGTGGGCGCAGCGGCGGAGTCACCGCGCGCGCGGCGTGCCCCCTTTCGGCGGCCGCCGCCGCGGCGACACTGCCCCCCGCGCATTGAGCGCATCGGCTTTGCTCCTTCGCTATCTGGTTTGTTTTAGCCGGAAGTGGCCAGGGCGCCGCGCGGGCGGCTTCCCTGCCCCCTCGCGCGCGGTGCCGCGTCCTAGGCCCAGGCCCTTCGCGCGCGGCGTCGTTCCTTCCGCGATTCGCTTGAGCCGCCCCGCGCGCGGCGTTCCTGGCCCGCCGCGCATTGTTTCTTGCCGCGCAGACCTGGGCAGAACCGCCGCGCGCGCAGCGGCCCGGCCCCCGCCCCCCCCTCCGCGCAAAGTTGTTTTTTTCCCCGCGAGCGGTGGGCCGAGGTTGCCGAGCCCGCGGCTGCCTTGGCGCGTCGCGCATTTTATTTTGACGTGCCGAACCAGCCAAGGCTGTCGCGCGCGCGGCGCCGCGCCCCCTCGCGCATTGGTTCTCTCCCCCGCGCAGCCTGGGCCAGTGCCGCAGCGCCCGCGGCGGCCCGCCAGGTCCTTTTTCCATTGCGCATGCGACCCAGGGCCATTGCAGCAGCCGGCGAGCCCGCTTCGCGAGCGCGGAGCAAGGGGCCCGGGGGCCGCCGGCGCGCGCCCCGCCCCTCCCGCGCCCCGTCTCTGGACGTCGGCGCGTGCATTCTCATTCTTTTAAAGCATATCAATTTTGCTTTCCAGGGCCTCTCATCGTATTATTATCAGTTCTTCCTGGGCCCCTTGCAGGATCTGCATATTTCCCATTGGCTCTCCCGCAGAATCCTTGCCTGCTCTCTTTCGCCAACTGAATGCTCAGTATTTAGAATTCGTTGGTCCCGCCCCGGATCCGTATATTTCCTGCGTGGACGTGGCGCAGAACCCCCATCCTATCTAGTAGTGCCCGCTGCAAAACTTCTCTTTGCCGCGCCGAGGGGGCCAGTGCACTGCGATGCGGGAAGTGCCGTCAGAGCAGCTCCTGGCGTCGCGGCAAATTGCTCGCCGAGGCTAGCACGCCGCGCAATTTGATTTGAAATCTGCCTTCGAACTGCCTCGCGCGGACAGCAGGGCCCCCTGGCTCGAGGGAAAGATGCTGCAGACCCCCCCGGGACTTACAACCTCCAGCTGTCTGGGGAGTTTTCCTTGTCGTCGGGGAAGGCTTAGGAAGCTGTTGGGAAGGCTGGAAGACTTCCGAGCCTTTGAGAAGGCCCGCCCGTTCTCAATTCTCCCCTGGTCGCGCCGACGAATCCCGTGCATATGATAGTCGAGCATGCAGTTCTGCGGCCGTCATGCTGTCCTCTGTCTCACGCTGTGGCGCAGCTTCGCCGTTGTGTCGTGCAGCGGTGGAGTTTCAGGTGGCCGGGTGCTTCGCGGAAGGGGGGAAAACAGTCGCCCCAGGTCCAGCCCTGATAGTCGCAGGGGCCGGAAGCGGCCCTTGCTGGAGGCAGAGGCCTGGGAAGAGCGGCGGGGTTGCGAAGCAGGGAGAGAAGGCCGTGGCGCCCGAGATATCCACCAGAGCTGCTAGGTCTCCGAGATTAATCCTCGTCCTGGCTTCGTCTTACAGTCAACGCGCGTAGTGAGAACGCGCGCCTCTTCTAGGGTACCCTTGTGTCCTTGCCTCTGCGGCCCGTCCCTTGCCGCTTCCAGAGGCCAGCCTCTCAGGCCGCCGCCCAACAAATCCCAGCTTCGGCCTCCAAGGGTCTTGCGCCCTTACCACCCGACCTTACGATACGTTTTTGCTGTGCTCGACCCTCGCCCGGGCTCGCGCGCGCGCGTTCGCGCGCGCGGCACCCCCGCGGCAGAGGGTCTCGGACCTGGCGCCGTCGTCGTCGCGCCGTTGCGCCTGCCTGCGCGCGCGCCCGGCCACCCGCGGCAAGGCGCCGGGTCGCCGAGCGTCTCCTCGCAGGCCCGCGCGGCGGACGACGACCCAGGCGGTGTCGTCGTCGTCGTCGTCGTCGTCGTCGTCGTCGTCGTCGTCGTCGTCGTCGTCGTCGTCGTCGTCGTCGTCGTCGTCGTGCGCATTTGTCGACCGAGGATCGACGTTCGAGGACGGGGGTGAGGCTGGCACCGCGCGGCGGATTTCGTCGTCGTCGGCGGTGGCGGGGGGCGGCTTCCAGAGGTGTTGAACGCTTTCGTGAGGCTTTGAGGTGTCGGAGCTTTTCGGGCGGTGTTCTGGAGGGGAAGGAGGAAGAGGACTGGGGGACAGGAGGCAGAAGGGGAAATGATGGAGGAAAAAGGAAGGAAGAGGGAAGAGGAGGAGGAGGAGGAGGAGGAGGAGGAGGAGATCGCAGGAGGAAAAGGAGAAGGAGGAAGGGGGAGAGAGGAGGAAGACGGAGGAGGAGGAGGAGGAGGAAGATAGTGAGGAGGAGGAAAGAGGATGAGGACGGAGGAGGAAGAGGAGGAAAAGGAGAAGGAAAAGGAAGAGAAGGAGAAGTAGAAGGAAGATAATGAGGAACGATGCCTCATTCTTTTCGCGCGCTACTACCAACACCAACGAGTTCTTCAAAACAGGGGCGGGACACGGCTCCGGCAACAACGGTGCAGCACGGGCCAGAGGGATGCCTCCTAGCAGCTGGTTTACTTTGACGGCTGCGGACTTGAGAACTGCAGATTTTGAGACGGATGTTCAAGCTCCGCCGTCGCCCAGAGTAATCGGCATTGCAGTAACTATAACACCCGGACAGCAACACTGGTTACGCGGTGGATGGAATCCAACCGTTGGGACTTTGTCTTTGTACGGGTTCTTCGGACAGTTTTTCAGGCAGCGTGGAAGATGACTCACTGGAGCCTGGATTCTGGCGAATAACCCGTCCGAGAAGCTCGAGAGTGTTGTTCCGCCCGCTGGTGGCGTACAGAACAGGTTTTGGCATTTGGCAAGAGACGACCGCGAATGAGCATGGTACGCGCGAGAACTGGGTAGCCCATTGCGCCGTGGGAGTTTCCTTTCGTCACCGTTCGGGGGAGCGATTGGTGTGTTCGACGGGATCGGTGCAGAGGCAAGGAAGTGTGGATGCGCAGGTTTCCATGTTTTTGCAGAGGTATTTGCGCTGCATGGGGACTACCGTGCATCGTCAGGACAACGGCGAACGGTTTCAACCTGGAGGTCCTGGTAAGACTTTCGATGGAACCAGGGGAGCTCTTACGGCCGAGCCCGAAGGAATCACAGTAAAACTCATTCAGGCAAAGGGCGTAATTCCGAACAAACAACCAGCAAGTAACTCAGCTACTACAGTGGAGGCCCATGCCAAGAAACACCCTGCTTGCCTCCTGGGTGCCCTGGGTTTCTTGGGTTTCGATGGTTTTGCTGTGGAAGGCGTGACGCCCCCACACCAGAAATCAATTGACGTCCTGGGGTCTCCGGGTTGCGTTTCGTGCGGAAGGTTTCTTGTGGACTGGCCTCCACTGTATGTGGGCAGTCCCGGCTGTACGACACGCGGTTCCGGCCGCTCTTCGTGCGGCTGGCCAGGAAGATGCTGACCTTGAGCCGAATGACGTCTTTACTACGTACACAGCTTCCGCCGCACATTGAATGGGACCCACGAGACTTGAACAGCCTCGCGGATGATGCTGCCAACAAAACGCTCGACCAGAATTCCGACCGGAAGTATGTCCACAACAACGTCTTGTTCAGAGCACGTAGAGATGTTGCGAATGGCGGGAGTGGCAGCCATTGCGTATTTTTCAAGCGGTGATCGAGAAGTGATTTCTCAGGCGGGGCGAGTGCTGGGCATCTTGAACTCCGCGGTCCTAGCCGAAGCTTTGGCAGCAGAGTTTTGCTTTGAGTTGCTTCTTATCCATGTGGTCATTGGCGGGTAGGTGCGCACATTGCGTGGGTAGGTGCGCTCATTGCGTGGGCCTTGTGGGAAAGAAAAATAATGAGGAGCGATGCCGAAAGAGCTTCAGCCGCCAGAGTTCCAGAGACCTCCCCCCTCCTTCTTCTATTCAACCTCTCCCGCTCTTTCTCTCACCCCCTCACACAACGCTGCAGAAGCGTTTCGCTCCTCCTCCTCCTCCTCCTCCTCCTCCTCCTTCTGCCCCTCATCTCTCTCCTGATGATCCTCCCTCTCCCCGAGCTCAAGCGTCGCACAGGGATTCGGTCAGGAACTTGCGCGAGACGCGTCAGCCGCACGGTCGGGCAGCCTTCTCGCCCCAGAGGAGAATGGGAGGACCCCGACCGGAGTAAATCCAGAGTGCGTCAACGATGCTGCAGCAGACCCTCCCGTCCCCAGTCCTCGAGGGTGGACAGCACCCCCACCCTGGCACGTCGATGAGTGAATTGCCGTTTTCGGTTCTCTAGAGGGCGCCGCGGCCGTCATTTTCCAGGCTTGCTCCCGCCAGTTTTGGGCCCGAGGTCGTTTTCACTAAACCACGTTTTGCTAAAACGGAGTTCTGTCCATCCCAGAGCCCCCCCCCTTTTTTGCGTCGGCGGCTGGGCAGAGGGCGGCTGCTCCAGCGGAGTGGCAACGTGGGACGCGCATCCTGCAAATCGAGGCCGCGAGACACGGAAGGAGGAGGAGGAGAAACGAGGAGGAGGAGGAGGAGGAGGAAGGAGGAAGGAGGAAGGAGGAGGAGAAGGAGGCGGAGGAGGAAGAGGAGGAAGGAGGAAGGAGGAGGAGGCGGAGGAGGAGGAGGAGGAGGAGGAAGAGGGACGGAAGAGGAGGAGGAGGAGGAGGAAGGAGGAGGAGAGGAGGAAGGAGGGACGAGGAAGAGGAGGAGGAGGAGGAGGAGGAAGGAGGAGGAGGAGGAGGAGGAGGAGGAGGAGGAAGGAGGGACGAGGAGGAGGAAGCCGGGCCACTCAGGAGCTGCCGGCTGCGGCGGGGGGAGCGCCGCGGGGGGGGAGCAGCGCCGGGACGCAGGCTGTACCGAGCTGCCCCCGCCCCGCCGCACGTCCCCACGAGCGTTCCTGTCCGCTGCGAGGGGCGCCCCCTTGGAGCGACGAGCGCCCCGAGGGCCTGTCACTCAGACGCGGCCGTTCTGTTATTATGATTCTTATGATCATTGTGGTGATAGTTGCGATTGTTATTATGAAGATTGGTATTACTATCATTATTCGTATCCTTATTGCTGTTCTTATTTCTAGTTGTGTATTAGTTATTGCTTATTTGTTCAGTAATATTGTTTATGATGTGTTATTAGTACTAATAATAGACTTATTAATATTATTATTAGTATTTGTATCACCAGTATTCTTATTATTCGTATGATGGTTATGATAATTACGACTATGATTATTATGATGATGATTATTATTTGTATAAGCTTGCTGATTAATGATATGCTGAAGACCGAAACACGCCGTCAACACCGATCCGTAGTTTTTCCTGGCTCGAGCCCCCCCCTCCCCGGGGGGCAGGGGGGAAACGGGCCAGGGGCCCTTGATGCTGGGGCAGCTTGCCCGGGCCGCCGTGCTGGGGGCGGCTAGCCTGGGCGGCGCGTGGCTGGGGAGGTGCCGGACGCCGCCGTGCCCGGCATCGCCGCCCCGCCCACTGGCGGCGACTTGCACGAGGCCGCCAGCGCCGGCGGACTCGCGCCCGCAGGTGAGCGTCACCTGCCCGGCGGAGCCAGCCGTGGAGGCCCGTGCCTGCCCCCAGGCGCCGGCGGCACCGGTGTGCCGGCCGCCGCCCGAGAGCCCGCAGGGCACGTCCAAGGCGGAGGTCGCCGAGTCGCCAGGCCGGCAGGACCTGTCGCCGGATGGTAACATGTACCTCGAGGACTTCAACGACGCCGTGGCCGTGCGATGTCTGGGGCCGAACAACGAGGTGCCGGAGAGGGTACCTCGGAACCTGATCTATCACTTCGATGAGCCCCCGTCGGCGGGGACGCTGCGCAGACAGATGCAGGAGGGAGCCTACGCCGCTGGGCTTGAGGACCAGCGCAGCGGTTACGGCATCGCCGTGTGGGGAACTGGAGGCGCCGCTGGGGCCGCGAGCGCCGTTGGCGCCAAGCCGGCCGCGGCCCAGGCCGGCGGCGCTGGCCGTGTGGCGACGGGAGCGCCCGCCTACGTGGCGGCCCAGCCGCCCGCGCCGGGGGCTCCCGGCGAGGGCGAGGACGGTGTGCCAGGCCCGGCGGCGCTCCAGGGCCACAAGTGCGTCGGCCGCGACGTCCGCCCGCCAGCGGGGCCGACAGTGCAGCCGGTGACGGTCGACACGATGCGCTGGGTGGCGGCCGCGAGCGTGGTGCACCCTGGAGGCAGCGTGGACCGAGGGGACGACGAGGCGATCAACGGGTTGGAGATGGCGTTGGGCCGCAAGGGAGTGATCGTGCTGATGGGGGTATCCGTGCTGATGGGGGACGTCGGCGACGGCGGTGTGGAGACGTACAGGTCGAGGGAGGCCCGTCATGACGCGAGGATGCTGAAGATGCAGAGGGACTCTCGAGGTGACGGCCACCGCCCCTGGCGCGACGTCACGCGCGGTGTGAGCGCGGTGAAGCAGACGGACTGGCCCTCGGCGGGCCCGCAGACGACGGAGTGGTGCACAAGGCTCCTTGACCGTCGGAGTGAGGGGCCCGTGGGCTGGAGTCGGCGCTGGCAAGCCGACAGCGGGCGGGCCGTGGACCAGTGGGGCGTGTCCGAGCACGAGACGCTGGCGAAGGCCCTCGAGCGCTTGGGGACCCTCGACCAGTATGACGCGGTGAACGTGGCGGCGGCGGAGTACATCGAGCAACGGATGCAGCTCATCGAGTGCTTCTGCTACGAGGTCTGCCGGCAGGCAGACGGCAGCAGGCATCAGGACGAGAAGGGCGGCAGGGGCGTGCGCGTGGAGGAGACGGCTGACCTGTCCGCGAAGCCGCGCGGGGACGGAGAGGTGATGGTGGCGCCGGAGCTGCTGTCCTACGTCGCCACCGAGCCGGAGCGGGACTCTGGCATCAGGAAGCAGATGAGAGAAGCCCGCGAGGGACGGCGACTCGCGGGCAAGCATGACCAGTGAAC